ATCCATGAAACTGCCACCTTGTGCAAGAAATTCTTGTACGTAATACTTTTTCCATTTAAAACTGTGTATGCTTTAAATGAATTAAAAAGCGCACAGTTTATAAAAAACATTACAACCCGTTTAGTCCATTTTTTTGTTTTTCTGAAAATGGAATAGTATGCAAGATATTGGTCCGCGCGATCTACGCCCTTCATATATCTGTTATAATCTATGATGGAATTAGGCTTTTCTATTGGGGCATTTGATCTTTTACTTCTGCTTGTGGATTCCGTCAATTGTGCAGAATGTATAGAAGATATCATATTTACATTCCTTTTGCCATTATTCCATACTTCTAACAAAATTTGACGATTCCTACGAAATTTGTGCTGACCTCTTGAAAGGCGTAATATTTGTAGAGATGGAGGATGACCTCTATTTTTTCGAATGGTTCCGCACACTCGCACTTTATTTCGCAGTAGAATTTTAGCCATCTTGACGCTGTTATAATAATTATCTTGATAAATGTGGTGCCATATGTTTTTATATGGTTCAATAACCGTTANTTATCAGTTTTTCAAAGTTATGTCTCTCTAGTTACTGATAGTAGACCATCGCACTGGAGTATCTGTGCGTTTCGTAGGCTCAGACAGAATTGTCCACCATCTGTTATTATGGAATATACATATTATAGGATAATTAGATTTAATAAAATGTTTTATTTTCACGCTAATAATAAATTATGTTTATTTTATCTATTACAACGGTTTTCAGTTTAATAATTATGTAATAATACTATTATAATTCTTATAATGACATACTATATATATATATTATAATATTTCAACAATAAATAATTAATATTTTTTCAAGGTATGATATCGTTCAAAACAGTTACCTTTATGTAATGGAACATTGCAAAATTTACAAACAAAACATGTTCTACTTCTTTTCTTTTGAACAGCACAAACTCTACATTGTCTTTGGGGTTTCACACTTTTACCGTTAGTTACTATATTTATAAGTTTATGTTGTCCGAAATTCGAGAGTCTTCCGGGATTGTCAAATTTGGGTGCTCTCCTTGTGGGTGCAGAACTAGGTATATTGTCGTCTTGTTCCATACAATTAGTTTCATTATCTTCTATCCATGAAACTGCCACCTTGTGCAAGAAATTCTTGTACGTAATACTTTTTCCATTTAAAACTGTGTATGCTTTAAATGAATTAAAAAGCGCACAGTTTATAAAAAACATTACAACCCGTTTAGTCCATTTTTTTGTTTTTCTGAAAATGGAATAGTATGCTAGATATTGGTCCGCGCGATCTACGCCCTTCATATATCTGTTATAATCTATGATGGAATTAGGCTTTTCTATTGGGGCATTTGATCTTTTACTTCTGCTTGTGGATTCCGTCAATTGTGCAGAATGTATAGAAGATATCATATTTACATTCCTTTTGCCATTATTCCATACTTCTAACAAAATTTGACGATTCCTACGAAATTTGTGCTGACCTCTTGAAAGTCGTAATATTTGTAGAGATGGAGGAAGACCTCTATTTTTTCGAATGGTTCCGCACACTCGCACTTTATTTCGCAGTAGAATTTTAGCCATCTTGACGCTGTTATAATAATTATCTTGATAAATGTGGTGCCATATGTTTTTATATGGTTCAATAACCGTTAAAACCGTATTTTCCAATTTTTTGCCATCAGCAGCATACACGTGAAAATTGCATATGTATCCTGTGACAGCTTCGCACACCATTCTTACAAGTATTCCGTATTTTGTAATTTTTGCCGGATTGTACGTTTTAATGGATAACCGACCTCTCCACAGAACTATACATTTATCCAAAGATAATTGCTGATATATACATCGTTAAATTTTTGCTGTAAATAATCAATGACAGGCTGGATTTTAGCAAGCCTATGTGCATTGTGAGGGATGTTGTCGTTATTGCAAAAATGCCAGCTCTGCATTATTTGCACAAATCTGTTTCTGCTCATGACTTGCGAAAAGAATGGAGTTTCTATACTTGGATCTGTTGACCAATAGTCGTAGAACACGTCTTTTTTTACCTGACCCATTAGAACTATTACTCCTAAAAATTTTTTCATTTCCGTTACCGTTATATCTGTCCACTTTTTCGCTCTTGATGGAATTTTATACTTTTGTATCGTCTGGTAATGATATCTGTTGGATTCCTTCACTAAGTGTTCGAAAAAGTCCATTCCAATAAATAAATTGACGCTATCCATCACATTTTCTGTAGAACTAGGCATAATTTTTATGCCAGGGCTGCCTTCAAAAGGTTCCAAAATTACTGCTTCATCTTCTGTCAACCATATATCATCGTCATCTTCAATGTTATTTGTATCGTCTTCGTTGTTACTTATCTCGTCGTCTTCTAAATCACTACATCTTAGTGGCAATACAGAATCCCGTTTTCGAATTATTATATCGCTCCCATCACTTTCGTCACCACTATCACTTCCTGAATAACTGTGAGGACAATCTGATAAATAAAACTCTCCAATACAATTTTTTTCGCTCATCGTAAACGGTAAATTTTTTAAAAACGGTGTGAAAATCCGAGTTTACGAAGCAACGCAATGAACGCAAATGAGCAATGTATCTCAATAAAACAAGTTAAACAAGTAACAATTGTTAATTGCCGTGGGAACCAAGCGCTCGGCTGTTTTTAGGTACGCGCGATATAAAAGCCGATTAATAGGCGATCGGTCGGTAAGCATCGGCAACAAAAAGCCTATTAATAGGCGATCGGTCGGTAAACGTCGGCAACAAAAAGCCGATTAATAGGCTAGCGGTCGGTAAAGTGTTAACAATTAATCAACAATAATTAACGGAAAAATTTATAATACAAATCAAAAGATACCCTTACTTATACAGAAAATCACAAAAATATTTTTAACAAAATCGGCCACTGTTTACGGCACTTATATTCACAGACGTTTTCCCGACCACGTGTTTCACGTCAACACCAATTAATCGGTATTAATTTACGCGCACCTTAACACAAAACAATTCCAGCAGTTGGGTGATGTTCGGGGCAATCCTACATGGGCAATATTTTCAACGGATGACCATCAGGAATGGAGTAATTTAATTAATTACGATGCGGGATGATTTTCGGTGAATTATTGTATTAATAATAAGCGGATCATCTTTAGAATCGTTCAACGGTTATTTCATGATATTTGTAAATGTTTGAAATCGGTTTGATCGGTCTACGATTTCTAATTCCGCATCATAAAAAATAGTCGCTATACGGTAGCTCGACGGTAGCTCGCTGGCTGCTGAAACTTCCTCGGGACGGTCGGCTGGACTGATAGAAACATGTGGCTTGTCGTATCTTGTTTGGAAATTTGTTAATTTCGGAATTATTTAATTATTTGATAATAATTTTTCGGAAAGCACATGTTTTCGTGATTCAGCAATTTTATTAATCACTTTCATTTATTGATGATTCGGTCAGGGAACGTTGTTGGAATTTAAGATAACGGTTTCGAAATGGAAAACGGAGAAAATCAAAGTCTAATTAAGAAAATTATCAAAATTAATAAAATGTGAATTGGGTTGCATAAACGGGCGGTGATAAGGAGATAAGATATCTTTTTCGGAATTTCTACAAATCGGGTGGAAACTGTAAGGTATCGAGGTAGTGTGGGAAGTATACTCGGATATATTTAATTTTCAGTAATTTTTCGGAATATTCGGTTTTTGAAAAATAAAAATAATGTAACTTCGTTACAAAGTAGAATGTGGAGATTTTCCGAACAAGGAAAGCACTGGAAGGCTGCTGCTACGCTCCGAGGAAAGCTGGACCGCTGTAACAAAAATGTTTAGAAGTATTATGAAACGTAAAGAAAGGGTCGAGTATGAGAAAGAAGTGGATGGAAGTAAGTTTGAGGTGACGACGAGGGACGGAGGGGGTCAAACCCCCCTCATCCAGGTACGTTAGCATAACAGTAATAGTTCTAAAAAATAACAGGATTCCTTTGTTCAAATCTGAATATGGTATAACGCCCCGATGTCGAGTAAAGGAAGAAGAAATGGTGACTTCTTCTAAAATGTTTACAAGTATTAGGAAATGCAAAGAAAGGATCGAGTATGAGAAAGAAGTGAATGGAAGTAGGTTTGGGGGGACGACGAGGGACGGAGGGGGGTCAAACCCCCCTCATCCAGATACGTTGGCATAACAGTAATAGATCTAAAAAATGACAGGATTCCTTTGTTTTAATCTGAACATGGTGTAACGCCCCGGTGTCGAGTAAGGGAAGAAGAAATGGTGGATGATCCAAGAAGGATATCAATCTCCGAAGTAATGGCAACTGCCGGTTCCGGAGAAGACGAGGAGAGGGGTTTTTAGTGGGTCGGGGTCTTTGACCCCAACCCCACACTATCTGGCCGCCCTACATCCCAGGCCAGATGTCTGTTAGCAGATTTTCCCCGACCTCGTTAAAAAAAACAAAAAAAAAAAAAAAGGGTTGGGTTGGGTTGGGTTGGGTTCTCGAGTTCACGTCAGACACTGGTCGCGTGAACACGTATTTAGATAGCTCGCTCAGTAGCTGGGTAGATACGAGGTTTAAACAAAGTTTAAAATTCAAAAATCTTTGTAAAACATTCATAGTTAGTTGTATGTTAAGTGGTATATTCGGATAGTGACCAGAAGTGTTGTTAAGTGTTTATTATACGCGATTTACGACGTTTTCTAGTGTTAGGAGAGAATCCAGTTATTTGTGTTTAATTCTAAGTTATCATCCCCTTGCAGATTACGTGAGCGGAGGATTAGAGCCACCCGAAGGTAGGACTTCACAAATCTTAAATAATAATAGACAAATTTTACCCGAAAAGCGATTAATTCATTGTTTTTTACGTTTTGTTATCACCTCGCCAATATGGCCGTACCGAGCGGTAGTACGCGTGCGCCGGCGCCGGGGAGTGGTTAGAACGATTTAATTAATCGCGAAACGCTCAGAGCGGCTCTGGCCGCGGACTAGGGTATCTACGCGTCGCTTATCATCGCAAATTCGATTTTTATTCCGATTCGCGATCTTTTTAAGAAACACAACGGTTCGGTTTCTTTTGCGGGGAGTAAGTAAAACCCCTAAAAAGAGGATACTACACCGATAAAATGGATAACCGGGCAGCCATAGAAAAGAACCGGGGCGGAGATGAAGAGAAATATGCAGAAGAAAACGGAAATAAGATTGAAGCTGGAAGAACGCGAGTACGAAAGAGAGATGAGGAAGATGATGATTGCGAAGAGAACAGAGAAGGCAAGAGAAAGGCAAGCGCGATATCTTGAGATCAAGAGCTGAAAGCTCTGAGGGAAATAGAAGTTGAGAAAACGGAGAAGCCTGGGATAGAGATAGAGAAAAAGAAAAAAACTACTAAAAAGATCATAGAGGATCTCATCTCAAAGGCAGAAGCAATGGTTGGAATGATCCAACAAAACACTGCAGTACCGTTAAAGAACAAAATTAGAGACATCTATGGAGAAATGAAAGGACTGCGCAGAATATATGAAAGAGAAGAGAATGATAGGGAGGGAAAAATGCAGGCTTTGTATATGCAGATAGACAAAATACAAAGTAACATAGAGTGGAGAGTAGAACAGGGGAAAACTATGACAGAAAGAAATGAAAAAGGAACACAGACGGAGAGTGAAGTAAAAGAAATAGCAACCCAAACAATAGACGAGGGGATGTTTACATTAAAACGAAACATACAGTCACATAAAGAATTCGAAACTCTAAGAAAAGAGAGATGGACGGAGGAAAGCTACAAAAATACAATAATAAAAAGAGGAAACCCATTGCATGTCAGAGACAACACAGTACTGGTAGTACTGGTAGACCCAGAAGATCCTAAGATGGAAAAGGGGATACAAAAAAAATTTAAAACAAGATATCCCGAGATAGAGGATATTGAAGAAAGCATAGGGTTTATTGAACAACAGTATAGGATTAGAAGGAAAGACCAAACAGAAACTAAACAACGAAAGATAATAAAGATCTCTTATAACGGGTCAGAGAAAGAACTCTTCGAAAATATAAGAGAGGTAAGAGAAGAGCTAAAAGAGGTGGAGTCTGTAGCATGCCATGCAGTAAAGGGTATAGACAAAGATACCATGCGTAAGGTAATAGAAAGTATCTTCCACGGCATGAAGACAATCGTAGCGATATACGCCCCAGAATAGGAGGACGGAAAAGTTTTGGAGAAGCAAAAGAGTATAGAGAGAAAGACATACGCTTTTGTAGTGGATAATAAACAAAAGACATTTACAGAAACCTTGAAAGATGTTAAAGAGAGACTACAAAAAAATAAAATAGACGAAGGAATAAAGACTATAAAGAGTACCAAAGAAGAAAAATTATTGATTATAACGGACAAGGATATTAACAAAGTAAAAAAGATAAAAGAAGCAATTGTAAAAGACAGTAAAGATATACACCTCAAACAATTGGCAGATGGATGTATGGAGACCATACATATTAGAGGCATGGATGCACTAATAGAGAGAAGCGAAGTACAGGAGGCTATAAAACTCGCAATAGGAGAAACAGAATGTACCCTAAAGATGAGCGACCTTAGGCCTATGCGCGATAACACGATGGCGATCACCATAAGGATGGAAAAAAAGGCAGCCGATACGCTGCTAAGACAAAAAAACATAAAAATTGGTTTCACCAGATGTGAGCTCGAAAAAAGAATCGAGATACCGCGGTGCTATAGATGCTGGGAATTTGGTCACCAGGGCAGGAGCTGCTCTGGACCTAATAGAGGAAAGTTGTGTTTCAGGTGTGGGAAAGAAGGCCACCCAGCGAAGAGTTGTCCGAACGAAGAATACTGCCTGATATGCAAAAAAAGCGGACACAGTACAGGGTCTGGAAGGTGTGATGAATTCAGGAAAGAACTGAATATCCGAAGGAAACTAGAGAGGCAGAGACAAAAAACAAATTGGGAAAGTGCGGACAGAAGCAATAAAGAATTTCAGTTTGAAGGACTAGAGAAGCAAAACAACGGGGGAGATAGAGGTACTCAAAGTACTCCCGAGACCTGCCTTGATAAGACACAATGATGATACCATTAACATTTATGCAGCCCAACTGCAACAGGAGGTGGGACGCTCACGACCTCCTAGAGGCGGTTGCACAACAACGAGGAGTTGATATCGTCATAGGGCAAGAGCCAAATAGTAGAAGAGCGAACAGACTAAGGACGGATAATAGAGGAGACGCATTCATACAATTGCTAGAAAACTCGTTAACACCAAAAAACTGGGTGATAGGCGAGGGGTTTGTCGGAGTAGAATTAGGACATATTACACTATGGTCAGTATATTTCTCGCCAAATCGACCGGATATCGAATTCCAGAAGTTACTCGACGATCTGGAAGAAAAAATAAGAGCAGCCTGCAAGCCGGCGATGATTTGTGGAGACCTAAACGCGAGAACAAGAACGGCAGGGGATGTCGTGCAGAACAGCAGAGGCCAATTATTAGAGGAATGGACAGCAAAGAACCAGTTAACAATAGCAAACATAGCAGGAGTAACAACGTACAGAGGACCAAGAGGTGGATCAGTAATTGACCTTACGCTGGCAAGTGAATCGATAGCAGACTCGGTAGAAGGATGGAGGGTTGAAGAAGACGTTGAGGTACTCAGCGACCACCTTTTGATATCGTTTTCTGTAACATCAGCTGGCCAATATGTAAACAGACAAAAAGTAACGGGTTGGAAGGTCACGGCTGATAAGCTAGAACTCCTAAAAAATAACTTTAAGAAAT